AAGACCATAAGATGAGCCTTTATTCTTAAGGCTTTAAAAGCTTATTAGAATTTTGCTTTACATTTCTGCTTAAAAATATTCATGTGTCTTGCTTAATGATTTTAAATGCTAGTAAAGGGATTATAAACCTAGAGATGTCTTGCTAAAGCAGATAGGATAAAGCACTTGTTTTGCAGGATGCTTCAGTGCCTAGAACAGAGAAGTAATACTTACAAGTGAAATATAGTTACTGATTAAAAGGTAGAAGAATTGGTAAGTAGAGGAAAATGGGCAAAAGAGAGCTGATAGAGGGGCTGGGGATGTAGCTCAGTTGGTAGAGTGCTTGTGTCACATGCACAAAGTCAGAGAGAGAGAGAGAGAGAGAGAGAGAGAGAGAGAGAGAGATATGACACAGCCTTGTAAGCTTGCTGTTTGTAATGGGGAGGGAAAAAAACCAGTAACTGGGCATGTTATTTAACACAGCAATGTGTGAAAAGTTGCAAGGTTAGGGTTAGCCTTCTTGTCCCCTACTAGGAGAATTAAGATGATTTTTTTTAAAATGATTCAAAGTTTAGCTAGATTTTTAAAAATTTATTTTGGTGAGAGTGATATTGGTGAGATTATTAACTAATACTTAAAATTGAAAATAATACATGGGCGTGATAAAAAGCCAAATAAATTTTTTTTTTGTATATGTGTGCACCAGGGATTGAACCCAGGTTTGCTTAACCACTGAGCTACATCCTCAGCCCCCTTTTATATTTTGAAACAGTCTTTAAGTTGCTTATAGCCTTGCTAAGTTGCTGAGTTCAAAGAATGTACTTGCAATCCTCCTACCTCAGCCTCCCAAGCCATCTGGCTCACATAAGTGATCTCCTGTCTTTGACACTTCCATACCAAGAAGTACAGGAGATCAACATGCTCCATTCTGGTGATGTTACTTTGTCATTTAAGGTGGTATCTGGCAGGTTTYTCTGTTGCAGAATGATTTTGCCCTTTGTAATTACCTCTATGGTAAGCAGAGAGTTGGAGACTATCAAATTGTTACTCTTCAAACTTTTATCCACTGATATCAGCTTCTGATAATTCCTATCTGTATCAACTATTATGACAATGATAGCTGCCACTTGGAGACCCAAGTTTGAATCTGGGTTTTGACAGTTAGTAGCAATGAAAGTTTGACCCATTCAACCTTTCTCAAGTGTCCATTTTTCCATATATAATTCAAGAATAACATAGTACATATTTCAGAAATTTGTGAGGATTACATTAGTAATGCATGTAATACCCTTGGCACAGGGCCTAGTACACAGTAAACACTAAACAAAGGTGAGGGGGATCTTGTTGGTTGCAACATTTTTTTCCTAATCTTCCTAATAGCCCTGGTAGTCAGATATGCATCCCCACCTTCTAATCCAAGGATGGGCTTATTTCTGTCAAGGATAATGCCCTTAGCAAATTTCCCTTTATGGAGGCAGGAAGGCATCTGAGGTGGATCTGAACAGATCTTAATAGGGCAGCGGGAGAAGAATGGGCACATCAGTGAAAGAAGCAATAGGAGCCAAACGTTGAAGGCAGGAAAGTTCAGGCTGGTTTTGTCTGGAGTTATAGGGAAAATGAGGAGGAAGAGCTGGTGAAGAAAGGATAGATTGTGAAGGGCTTGACCTCTCGGCTGAATTTGGGCTTCATTTAGTTTCACTTTAAAGGGATTTAAAGTGTTTTAAATTTTAAATTTTAATTATTTTTAAAAAGGAGTATATAATACTATAGTTCCCACCCAAATGAAGCAAACACTATGAAGGCTGCACGTGAATAACTGGAATTTAGGAAACACAGTAGTAGGTGACATTATTTTAAGTAGTAACACAAAGCTTAGGGAATTACGAGGGAATTTAGTTTTTTTTTTTTTTTTTTTTTTAAAGAAAGAGGGAGAGTGAGAGAGAGAGAGAATTTTTTAATATTTATTTTCCAGTTCTCAGCGGATATAACATCTTTTGTTTTTGTATGTGGTGCTGAGGATCGAACCGGGCCGCACGCATGCCAGGCGAGCGCGCTACCGCTTGAGCCACATCCCCAGCCCTGGAATTTAGTTTTACTGAGACTAGTGACCCAAGCCTACATCATAACAAAACATACTCAAATGTCACCTGCTATCTAATATGATTTTCAAACTGTGATCCAAGCAGCTCAACAAGAGGTGCTACTACAGGAATCCTGAAATGATTGATTTAAATATAAATACATATATACACATACAGATAATAATATATGTAAAACTATCTACAAAGCTAATATTAAAAAGGCAACAAGTTGGAGTTCTTGGTAATCAATATGGCATACTGAGCACATTTATAGCCTTTTCCTTTGAAGGACCACATTACAAATATAAATAGCAAGGGGTTGTGGTGGCCGGTAGGGGAAAACATAATTCAATAAAACAAAGTACAGGGTTGGGGATGTGGCTCAATCGGTAGCGCGCTTGCCTAGCATGCGTGCGGCCCGGGTTCGATCCTCAGCACCACATACAAACAAAGATGTTGTGTCCACCAAAAAAAAACTAAAGAAAATAAATAAATATTTAAAAAAATAAATAAATAAAACAAAGTACAGGAGTGGGCCACTGGTGATCAGGAAATTTCAAGACATTTCTGGAAAGCATCAGATACATGGATGTGTATACTAAAAAAGGGCTGAGGAAGCTACTTCCAGAACTGGTGTGATGGACAGAGGAGGAGGACCTGGCTAACAGAACAGCAGAGGCTCTACCTGCCTCCCCCAAAGCAGAGAGGAGGCATAAACGAAGGGTTCAGCTGTGGTTAAATTGAACATTCAACCTCATCTCACCTAACCCTATAGGCAGGGTGACGTCAAGCAGCCTGGCATTTATACACATGACGCAACACCATCTCTTAGCCCCAGGATAGAAAAAAAGGCAGGATGAGGAGTGTTTTTTTCTCTAAAGAAATCGAGACAGCCATATGGAGAGAACTAGAGCAATAAGTATTGTTCTGCATCACATTTTTTAAAACCATATGTATTTATCACTTTAATTTTTAAAAAAAACATGTCATTGTCCTATGGAAAGAAAAATCATACATACTGAAATATGTCATATACTGAATTTTAATAGATTAGAGAGCACCAGGGCATTAACGTGTGCTGCCAGTTTTTTTTTTTTCCTGCCAAGTCTGGTCATTTAAATGCATTTCGTATAAATGCATCCATGTGTCACTTTTTATGAAGGTCAAAAGCTCTGCTCTGGCCTTTTGTACAATTCAAGTCTGACTATCCTCACATAGTTGTGAAAGGGAGTACACCTCTACGGCACATGTTCACCACACTTAAATGTCCAGCAAGACCCAGGCATTTGGTCATACACATTTTAGTCATGGTATAATGGTCAATAATGCAATAAAAAGTGAAAGAATAATACATCAAAATAATACTATCTATGATTAGATTTTTTTTTTTTTAATTTGGTACCAGGGATTGAACTCAGGGGCACTTGATCACTAAGCCACATCCCCAGCCCTATTTTGTATTTTATTTAGAGAAAGGATCTCAGTGAATTGCTTAGTGCCTCGCCATTGCTGAGGCTGGCTTTGAACTCAAGATCCTCTTACCTTAGCCTCCTGAGCTGCTGGGATTACAGGCGTGCACCACCGAGCCCAGTTGTGATTCCATTTTGAAACAAACATTTTAGTTGGGTGCAGTTGTGTACACCTAAAATTCCAGCGGCTTGGGAGACTGAGACAGGAGGATCCCCAAGTTCAAAGCCAGCCTCAGCAACTTAGTGAGGCCCTAAGCAACTTAGCGAGACTCTGTCTGTAAATAAAATATAGAAAAGGGGAGGGGATGTATCTCAGTGGTTAAGCATCCCTGGTACAAATAAAATTGGTTCTGCTACTCCTCATTCAAGTTTCTGGATTAGGTTTAACTGGAAAATACTTTGGGACTGCAAAAGATGGGCCAGGCATGGTGGTCCAGTGACTTGGGAGACTGAGGCAGGAGGATCACATGTTTGAGGCCAGTCTGAACAATTTAGCAAGATCCTGTCTCAAATTAAAAAAATTTTGAGGCTAGCTTAGTGATAAAGTACCTCTAGGTTCAGTTCCCAGTACTGCAAAAGACCAAAAGAAAACAACAACAAAAAGCAGTCCAATGATGAATTATATATTAGTATTTTGGAAAGAATTCTTTCTTCAGATCATTACTATTATTTAATACAAGCACTTCATCAAAGTAGTATGAGGAATAAATACAACAGTACATGCAGATGTAGCAAGTTACTATACATAATAAGGGTTAATATTTCTTAGATTAAATTTCTGTGTCTCTGACAAAAACGGTCTTAGTGTCATACAGGTATTAAACAAGTTGTCAGTACATAACTATTTTACAGGGTCTGAAGTATCCATATCAAGGTGAAACATTCAAATTCTAAAGCTTTCCTAAGTTATTCCACTGGTGCTAGATTATTATTTATATTATATTAGGTAAAGGTCATATGCTACTCATAAGTAAATTAACCACAGTCTCAATCTATGTTTACTGTTTCATTACAGTACCATAAATGAAATTTTATGTATTCATTCTTCATAATGAAGTGCAACAATGACATATAGGCTATCAGTAACTTAAAAATATCTTTTGAAAGTTTTTAATATATTTTTAAGTTACAAGGTTAGCAGCAAACCCTTTCAAGAATGCTTTGATTACATTTAGCAGGAAATTATTAAGATAAAGAAAGTATGCTAAAAACCAAATGAATTATCATAATTAAATACATACAGATTGCTAACATTTCTCTTGAAACAGAAGAAAGTCAAAGTTCGCCTGTAATCCCTGCAGCTTGAAAGGCTGAGACAGTAGGATTTTGTGAGTTCAAAGCCAGCCTCAGCAATTTAGCTGAGGCACTAAGCAACTCAGTGAGGCCCTGTCTCTAAATAAAATACAAAATAGGGCTGGGGATGTAGCTCAGTGGTTCAGTTCCCCTGAGTTCAATCTCCAGTACCAAAAAAAAAAAAAAAAAAAAAAAAAAATCAAGGTCCATCCGCTGAAGTTTAAGCATTCTGGCACCACTTAGGATCCAACTGGAAATATGTTTTTTAAATTTCTGTGATCGAGGGCTGGGGATATAACTCAGTTTGTATGTGCTTGCCTTGCATACACAAGGCACTGGAATCAATTCCCAGCACCACAAAAAATAAAATAAAATTTCTGTGATCTTGAAGGTCTTGTCCAAGTTTTAGAGGGCTTTTGTTTTTCTTTTAGCCACTAGATTTTTCAGGAAAAATTCACCTATTTAAGAAAATGAAAATACATTAATATTAATTTAAAGTTAATAAAAGTAAAACTACTATTTCAGAATTATTCTTCTATGATTTCCCTACAAATTATAAAGAAGATTTGTACAAATTCACCTATTTAAGAAAATGAAAATACATTAATATTAATTTAAAGTTAATAAAAGTAAAACTACTATTTCAGAATTATTCTTCTATGATTTCCCTACAAATTATAAAGAAGATTTGTACAAATTCACCTATTTAAGAAAATGAAAATACATTAATATTAATTTAAAGTTAATAAAAGTAAAACTACTATTTCAGAATTATTCTTCTATGATTTCCCTACAAATTATAAAGAAGATTTGTACTTACCAGCATTTTTCTCGTCTTCAATCTCAAAGAAACTATTTTTTAAATCTAAGTATTCCCTATATTTTTGGCTCTTTTTCCCAACAACAAAGAACAGTCTTTTTTTTTTTTTATTTTAATATATCATATAGTCTATCAGTTTCTTTCTTTCTTTTTTTTTTTTTTTTTGATACTGGGGATTGAACCCAAGGGCGCTGTATCAATGGGTTATCTCCCCCTGAGCCATTTTATTTTGTATTTTGAGATAGGGTCTAGCTAAGTTGCCCAAGTTAGCCTTGCACCTGCAATCCTGTCTCAGCTTCCCAAGTTGCTGAGATTACAAAGTCATGTGCCACCACGCTTTCCTCTCAACTATTACTCTAATAACTCAATATTATAAAGGGTGACCCTATTGTATCTATGGGTCTGCTTCTGTATATTTATTCCATTTTGTGTGCACTATCTATTCCTCATCACTGACAAAGAATTGCTGTTGGCAAAATTCATTTCAGAGAGCAATTTTGTTACATTATTAGCCTGGATCTGATGTTTTTAAAACAGACCTTGTTGCAGTTGAGAACACTCATCTGATGGAATCTCTTCAGCTTATTCCCCTCTAGGGAAGCGAGCACTCTTCATTTATAATGGGCTTTCTCCCCACCCCCTGAGTTGTGCCTGCATAATAAGTTAGCTGTTTAGAGGGGCACATTCACTTTTCAGGCCATTAGGATTCCATTTAGTTTATCACTTTTATAGCAGAACTCAATGCTTATCGGCAGAGCTCAGCACTGGAGGTCTGATTTTATGAGGAATCTGATTAACATGTCTTTGTCATCTAACATATATGAGTAGAACTGCGATGACCATATTCAAACTCAATCACCAGGAATCCCAGGATTCAACCCAGCCAAGTAATCAATGCTGCTCCATACCTCATCTAAATCTGGTAGAAGAACCAACATTATCAGGCTCTCATCCATCACCTGAGTATAATGCTCCAGGTAACACAACTCAAATCTTTTACTGGCAACTTAAAAAGCATTTTAAAAGTTCCTTACTCAGGCTGGGACTATGGCTCAGCGATAGCACGTTTGTCCAGCATGTGTGAGGCACTGGATTCTATTCTTAGCACCACGTATAAAATAAATAAAATTTTAGGGGCTGGGGATGTGGCTCAAGCGGTAGCGAGCTCGCCTGGCATGCGTGCGGCCCGGGTTCGATCCTCAGCACCACATACCAACAAAGATGTTGTGTCCGCCGAGAACTAAAAAATAAATATTAAAAATTCTCTCTCTCTCTCTCTCTCTCTCTCTCTCTTTCTCTCTCTCCTCTCTCACTCTCTCTTTAAAAAAAAAAAATAAATAAATAAATAAATAAAATTTTAAAAATTTTAAAAAAACACCTTGAAAAAAGAAGTTCCTTACTCCCTCAAATATTAGAAATTTTATTTTCCCTTAAAAAAAAAAAAGAAAAACACCTTTTAAATTATATTACTCTAATCATTCTAGAAGCTGATAGTAGTTTTTTTTTTTCTTTTCTTTTTTTGGTACTGGGGATTGAATGGGGTAGGGGGGTGGGGGGGGGATGCTTTACCGATGAGGTACATCCCCAGCCCTTTTTAAATTTCCCTTTTTAAATTTCTAATTTTGAGATAGGGTCTAACTAGATTGCTGAAACTGGCCTCAAACTTGTGATCCTCCTATCTGAACCTTCTGAGTCTCTGGGATTATAGGTATGTGTCACCATGCTTGGCTAGTTCTATTCTTTATACATATTTTTAGCTTGCCAGTAGTTTTGGTTGAAGACTAAATCACATAATTACTGATTTTCAAAGTGCCCCATCCTGTCAGTCACTGTTGAATCAAACTTTAGCATTTAATAACTAGGATAAACTGTTAATTCATGAAAATGTCTTAATTTTTTATAGGAACACTGATATCACTAATACTTGAACACCAATTTTTTCAAATATAATTTATGCTTAATTTAAACATATCTATATTTAGGCCTCAATTTACAAAATACTCATTTAAAAGAACATTAATAGTAATAACATATTTTAGACCTCAAAAAACACCAGCAGTTTTTTTTTAACTTTTTTTTTTTTTTTTTAGTTGTAGATGGACGCAATACCTTTATTTAGTATTTTTTATGTGATGCTGGGGATCAAACCCAGGGCCTCACACATGCTAGGCAAGCACTTACCACTGAGCTACAACCCCAGCCCTCAGCTGAATATTCTTTTTGGTTTTTTTTTAATATTTATTTCTCAGTTTTTGGCAGACACAACATCTTTTGTTTGTATGTGGTGCTGAGGATCGAACCTGGGCCACACGCATGCCAGGCAAGCGCGCTACCGCTTGAGCCACATCCCCAGCCCCATGCTGTTTATTCTTAACAATTATAATTATAATTGTTAAGCCCAACTAACAGGAAAAACATCTGCATTTTTTAGATTACATTCAGTCTTCAGATACGTTCTTATGGACTTACTGATGACCACTATTAAATAACTTTTTTTTTTTTGTAGTCCTGGGGATTGAACCCAGGGCCTTAGGCACACTAGGCACTCTACCACTGAGCTACGTCAACAGCCCTTTTCTTTAAAAAGAAACAATTTTTTTTTTTGAGACAAGGTCTCTCTAAGTTGCCCAGGCAGGCCTTTAATTTGTGATCCTCTAACATCAGCCTCCCAAGCAGTTGAGATAACATATGTCTCACACTGTACCTGGTGTCAACTTACTTTTTATCCCTTAGAAAATGCTTTTATTTTCATAAATCATTTTTAGCAACTGATCAAACAAGTGCAGAATTCCACAGGTGAAAAACTGCACTGTAGCTAATAAAGCCATTAAAATTTTCTTTTCTTTTTTTTTTTTTTTTAATATTTATTTATTTATTTTTTAGTTTTTGGCGGACACAACATCTTTGTTTGTATGTGGTGCTGAGGATCGAACCCGGGTCGCACGCATGCCAGGCGAGCACGCCACCGCCCGAGCCACATCCCCAGCCCCATAAAATTTTCTTTAAGGAAAAATATTGTACAAATTTTTGTTGTTGTTGTTACCTCTAGGGGGAAGCACAAAGAAATTAATAGTGCAAACAGCAATGCTATCAAATTTCAGTGCTTAAATTGATCTGAAATTGGGAGTCTGGGGATGCAGCAAGCATCATTTTCAAATGAATATACATTTTTCAGAAAACCATATTATATGCTTGACATACTTTGTCATTCCTGAATAATCTACTACTAAAATCCACAGATAGAATAATCAAATAAACTAACTGTTCTTATTTTCATCAGAATGGCTGAGGGATTTGCTAAAGGAACAAACTAGGTTTAAGAGAAACTTCTTAATATATGATCCCTATGGAGCAAAGCTCTAAAGGATGGTCCAGGAAAAAAACACTCTTTTCCCTCTGACAAAAGACAAACACAGCTATTACAATTTGCCTTACAGCTTTAGCGATTTAGGGTAGAACTTAGGGTGGGAAGTTATCAGCCTAAATAAAACCATTCCCTGTAGTTTAACTTACCTGCTTTATATGAAGAACGCACTAAAGGACCACTTGCAGTATAATGAAATCCAAGTTCATTTCCTATTTTTTCCCAGTATTTAAACTTTTCAGGAGTAATATATTCTTCAACCTAGACTTAAATAATGACTTTAGATCAGATTCTAGAATTCCCTAAAATAATTTTGATTCTATATAAAGTTTATACACATGTACTCTCCCCAGCCCTTGCCCGCCCCCCTTCCTTACTAACCACATGTCTAGTGATTACTTGATCACTCTATCAGACCACAATAACAGGAAATTAAAAAGGAAGGAAAACATATCAATTCTGTATTATATTAGCTGTTCCAAAGGATGGAGAAATAAAATGACATCATCTTTAGTAATTATTTAGCTATATTTTTCCTTCATTGATTAACTGGTAGAATCGAGAGGGCTGGAGGTGTAGTTCAATAATAGAGCACTTGCCTAGCATGTGCAAGGCTCTGGATTTGACCCCAGCACAGAAAAAAATAAAAATGAAATGAAACAAACAAAACAAACCAATCCCTGAAGGACTCTTGAGGAAAAGACTCTTATTTACCTTATATCTTCTCCTTAGCATTGTGACTGGCATACTTTATATTTCAAAGTTTAAAAATGCCAAGAATCACAAAGACTTACTCAACACAACTTTCTTGAACGAATGGATAAATACCCATTACAGTAACAGAAACAGCGCTTCTCTTTCTTACTTCAATGTGGCTCTCACATAATTCTAAAACAAGTCACAGGATCACCAAGTGTCAATGAGTGCACCTTCCAAGTTGTTAATCCTTTTTCTGTAGGTTCACTTGAATCAGACAATTCAGGCAGTGGCAAATAAGCACCAGTGTAGCTGCTTTGTGTGAATAATAAATAAATGGAAACTGGAACTTATAAATATACATGGAACAATAGTTTCTTATTTTTATCTATGGACAGTGAAGATTTAATTCAAAATACTAAGAAACATTTGGCAATTCAAGATAGCTATACCTTAAGGTGGCGCTTCGTTGGCTGCATATATTGTCCTAAAGTTAAACAGTCTACATCTGCTTCACGGAGCGCTACAGGGAAAGAAAAAAAAAAAAAAAAAAAAAAAAAAAAAGCCTGAATTATATTAGCAAATGTTTTACAATATTAAAATTATAGATCTAAGTATAATTTTCCTGAGGAGTATCTCAAAACAGTGTGAATACTGTGCTAGTCCATAATCCTCATGATGGCAAACAGATACCTATTCATTGAAAAATATTTATATGTCAGGAACCATAAGGACTGAAAGCATAGGAATAATTAAGATCATCATATGGGGCTGATAGATATAAAAACAAATGACTTTAATACTATGGATTAAATACTAAAATAGGAGTGGAGGGTGTTTTAGAGCAGAAGTCTGTTATGCAGAAAAGGTAAAGGAAACAGAACATGCAAAATCCTGAAAACACCCATATTACAGACCAAACATCCTGCATTAGGCTTTTACTCAATTTTTAAGATATGCTCTTGAGGATATGATTTGACCTCTGATATTATTAGAAAACTTTTAGTAAATAAACTGTGTGTATTGTGATAAAAAGCAGCTTTTAATTACTATATGAACTTATTATTTTTTGAACCACTGAAGGACTACAAGTAGGCCAAAGACTCAGGGAAAAATAACAACTTTTATATTTCAAAGTTTAAAAAGGCCAAGAATCACAAAGGCTTATGGGAGAGTAAGGTTCGCAAATTCCAAAGCCCAGCATGTTTTATGACAGTATTACAAGTAAGCTCTTCTCAAAGGCCTGGGTTGGTCTTATTCTACGAATTGTCAGTGTATGGTACATGGCTGGCTCTCAAAAACTGTCTAAAGACAGAATAAAAAACATGGGCTAAGCATGGTGGTGCACACCTGTAATCCCAACAGCTTGAGAGGTTGAGAGTGGAGGATTGTGAGTTTAAAGCCAGCCTCAGCAACTTGGCGAGACCCTCTCAACTCAGTGAGACCCTATCTCTAAGTAAAATATAAAAAAGGGATGGGGATGTGGCTCAATGGTTAAGCACTCCTGGGTCAATCCCCAGTACCCTCTCCCAAAAAACAACCAAAAACCCATGTGTTCATTGGATGAATGGGTGAGGAATGAAATGGGACATGACTTCATATCTCGACCTTTATACATATAATTCCATGAAATACTAAGAAAACATTTTCCTTTTCATATTGCTGTTTACATCATATGTGCACTATGGGTTAAATCCAGGGCCTGTAATCCTAACAGCTTCAGAGGTTGAGAGTGGGATTTGACCCCAGCACATGTATACAATGTGAGCTACACTTGCAGTCACACATACTTAGTTCTTACTGGCATTTGCATTGAGACTATAGAAGAAACATAAATTGAACAAGCCTCAAAGTGGGGTTCTTGCTATTACTCAAATTAAACAGGAAAGTTTTTATTTTTAAATTTCTTTACCTTTCATTGTTGCATATACTTGTTCATCATTCTCACCTAAACCCAACATTATTGATGTTTTAGAAATAAGATCAGGCTGAACCTCCTTGGCATGTTTCAGTACACGTAGAGACTGGTCAAAATTGGCCCTGGGATCACGAACTTTCCTGGAAAACAGTAGTGCTGTTGTCAGCAAGAATAACCACAAGTTCAACCAAATACATAGTTACGCAAGCAACCTGGAAGACCAGGAAAGCACATTCTGAACATGATATTACATTATATGGTTCAATGGTAACACCTGTATACAAAAGTCTGATAACCTAGGAAAGAAAAAAAGGCCTCAGTGGGCTCCCTACCTCTGTTAACTTAAGGCTTCTCAAGCCCAGGGCAGAGAAAACTAAAAACACAGAAGAAATAGATTTAGTTTTATGCGTTGAGAAATCAGAATTCTGAAGCTCAAGATTATAATAATTGTAAGAGACAGTCAAAAGAAAAGAAGATGAACAGAAGTAAAACAATTTTGGCAATGAACAAAGAAAAAACTAACCTGAAACCACATTTCAGAAGGTTGAAACTTTTATGTTCATTTCTTTTCTAAAGACTAAGCTGCCCTCTGCTGGTAAGTACACAACATTGCCATCTCTTAGGTAAAGAAATGTACGATTCTGGAATTTTCACTGGAAAGGATAATGTTTCTTAAGAGAAACCAGGGAAACTGGCACCCACTGCTGGCAGTACCATGACAGGGTTGATATAAACTGTGCTAGACTTCAACAATGGCCTCACCATCCTAGTTTAAATGTCAAGAATGCCAAAAGGCCAGAAAGTTGCTGATGTTAAACCAGCATTCGTTTGAATTCAAATGTAGCTTTCTTTTCTAGAATTTATTTGGGTTTTGTTTTTGCGGTACAGGGGATTGAATCCAGGGGTGTTCTATCACTGACCTACATTCCGGGTCCTTTTTTAAAATTTTGAGACAGAGTCTGAGGGTCTTGGTAATATGCCCAGGCTGGCCTCTCCTCTTTCAGGATCCTGGGTTGCTACAATTACAGGGGCACCACCATGCTCAGCTTACTATAACTTCTTTTAGGTTCTATGATATCAAATAATATACAAAGCTAATAAAATCACAGCCAACACTTAAGGTAAAGAAAATGAACAATATTAATTTTCTTGAGGTTTAAAATAATTTTAATTTTTCTGAAATTTGAATATAGTCATTATGTGGAACATTTCTTAATTAGTACTAACAACTAAAATTAACTAGGAAGAGTAAAGAAGATGGGCTAGGGATGTGGCTCAAGCGGTAGTGTGCTCGCCTGGCATGCGTGCGGCCCCAGGTTCGATCCTCAGCACCACATACAAACAAAGATGTTGTGTCCACCGAAAACTAAAAAATAAATATTAAAAAAAATTCTCTATCTCTAAAAAAAAAAAAAGTAAAGAAGAATAGTGTTTATATTTTAAAAGAGAATTAAAGTAGGGCTGGGGTTATGGCTCAGTAGTAGAATGCTTGCTGGGCACATGTGAGGCAATGGGTTCAATCCTCAGTACCACATAAAAATAATTGTGTCCATCTATAGCAAAATAGCTTAAAAAAAGAGAGAATTAAAGTACATCTGAACAATACCACATTATCTGCTGCATTATTTATTTACTATGTGAATTAGTGGCTTTTTTATTTTCCCAATGCTGGGGATTGAACCCAGGGCTTTGTATATGCTAGGCAAGCACTATACCACTGGGTTACATTCCCCAGTCCCTCAAATGTACTTTTAAGTATTTTCTTTAGAATTACAGCCAAGGCAGTTGCTCTAGTGTAGTTATTTTCCATTTGAAAATTCTTCTTTGAAAAGAGTAATACTCATTGGCATTTGCAAAATGATAGTACTTTTTAAAAATAAAAAATATGCTTATTATGAGCGCATATATCAAAAATTACATGTGTGCAGTGGTGTATACCTATAATTCAAGCTACCTGGGAGACTGAGGTAGAAGGATCACAAGCTCAAGGCCAGCTTCAGCAATTTAGCAAATCCCTATCTCAAAACAAAAAAGGGCTGTGGATGTAGCTCAGTGGTGCAGCACCCCTGGATTCAATCTACAGTACTATAAACAACAAACAAACGAAACATGTAAATATAAATACAAAGTTGATAGTAACTGATATTACTGGGAGGAAATATTATTAAAACAGCTTATTTTAATATTATTAAAATATTATTAAAACAGCTTATGCTGTTTTTGTTGGCTTTATTTTCTGATCTTTCTGTAACAAAGAGGGAGTAGAGGAAGATAGTAGGTAGGGAGGGAGTAAAAGAAGACTGAAGGGAGGGAGGAAGGGAAGGAAAGTTTATTTTGTAAACGTCAACTGCAAGTTGGCTCCTGAAAAGTGAGAATATAAGCATATTCCGATCCTCCTAACTCTCCCACATTACTCAGTACATGTAATCACCTCTGTAATTCTGGAACTGTTTCTATATTATGTGCATACACATCTAATCCTGACAGTGCAACTTTTTCTATTGCTTTAAGATCTCCTCGGAAATCAGGGGTGAGGCATTCCACAAGAATTTTTGGATTCCTAGGGGAGAAAAAGATAAATATCAAACTGAGGAAAAGAAATGAAATAATTATTACTCAAAATGAATTATCAATACTTATCCAGTATCAGTTTCAACATAGTAATATTTAGAACTTGGCTAAAAAAAAGCATGGACATACAAATGTCCATATATGAGCTATCATATGAAAAAAAAAAATCCAGAACATCAAATATTATGTTCATAATGGTTAAAATACACCTTCATGCAAATAATAATCAGAATAAAACTTGAGATTAGGGCTGGGATTGTGGCTCAAGTGGCAGCATACTCGCCTGGTATGCATGAGGCACTGGGCTCGATCCTCAGCACCACATAAAACAAAATAAATATATTGTGTCCACCTAAAAAAAAAAAAAACTAAAAAAAAAAATTTAAAAAACCCCTTGAGATTAGATAAGACTTTTAAACCTAATTTAAGTAAATTTTTTAAAAATACAATATGAAATATTAAAACATTAAATATATTTTCTTGTTTGGAAAGAAAATTAGGATATTTCTTATGTGAACACAAATATTACTTGATTGATTCAATTCTGTCTTCTATAATTTATCAAATAGTGTCTTCCCATCTTCCTCTAGGCAAATATTTCACAAGTGCTATAGATTTTAAAAACTATTTTCTGGGTTGCTGTGACTTGAGTTTTGCTTAAATGAAGGACAAGCTAAACATTAATCTTCCTATTTATACTGTGGCTATGTCTATTCATTCAAGCATTATAATGTGAACTAGGTCACAGAGCTGTTTCCTTTGACACTAGCAGAAATGATTCAGACAGCTGACAAATTTTTTCATGAACCCAATGGCAAAGTGTCTGGAATTGTTCCCTGAAAGAACAGATTAAAAAAAAAAGACCACACATATACCCTCTCATGAATACAAAAATGTTGAAAGAATATATCCCAGAACTCACTGTTTTTAAACTTCAAGTTGAGACCCATTAGTGGCTTGAGAAAGAAATTTAGTGGGTTGCAAACATATTTTTATTCAAAAGAATTTAAACAATTATTTTGGTATTGGGGATTGAATCCAAGGGTGCTTTATCACTGAGTTACATCCCTAGCCCTTTTTATTTTTCAGTTTGAGACAGGGTCTTACTAAGTTATGGAGGTTAGCTTTGAACCTGTGATCCTGTTGCCTCAAGACTCCCAAGTCCCACTGTTGTCGTGTATGTAAAAAAAAAATAATAAAATCAATTAAAAAAAAAAAGACTCTCAAGTTGTGGGGATTGGAGGCATATGACACTGTGCCCAACCACAAATATTTTTAAAAAGGAACTCTAATAGATGTAAAATAGAAAATACTGGTGAATCATTAGAAAAACATTAAGTATGCTAGATAAGCACTGAGTTATAGGAAATGATCAGAGTTCCTTTTCAGTGCTTTTTTATTTTTTGGTACAGGGGATTGAACCCAGGGGCACTTCATCATTGAGCCACATGCCTGGCCTTTTTAAAAAATTTTCAAACAGGGTCTTGTTAAGTTACCTAGGGCATCACTAAGTTGGTGAGGCTGCCTTTGAACTTGCAATTATCTTGACTCAACCTCTAAGGTCACTGGGATTACAGGTGTGCGCCCCCCATGCCCAACATCCCTAACTATTTTTAAATGATTGTTAATTCAAAGTCAGTGCTCAGAAGACCACAGCTTAATACTTTTTGAAGAGTATCACTTGACATTCAGACTAATGCTCAAATATGAACCCCTAAAATGTCCAGTAAATATGTATATGTAAGCACCAATATACTTTATTTGGCTGGGGGGGCAGGTGTCGGGGATTGAATTCGGGGGCACTCAACCACTGAGCCACATCTCACTGAGTTGCTTTAGCCCCTTACCATTGTTGAGGCTGGCTTTGAACTCGAAATCCTCGTCTTAGCCTACCAAGCCATTTGGATTACAGGCGTGTGCCACCACATCCAGCACCAATATACCTTTTCTGGAGAAATGGTCACATACTTTTCAGTAGATTATCAAAAGGGTATAAAATCCCCCAAAAGGTTAATAACCACTGGTGGTTTTTTAAAAAATTTTTAGTTGTAGATTTATTTTATTTATTTATCTTTATGTGGTGCTGAGGATCAAACTCAGTTCCTCACATGTGCAAGGCAAGCACTCTACCACTGAGCTACAATCCCAGCCCTAATAACCCCTAATAACCACTGTTTTAAGGTGAAGGCTTTAAACTAATTTATATAGCTCCAAAAAAAGTCCTTAAAATACACAAATAAATGCAGAAACAAGTACCTTTCCTTAAGGTATGATACAGTCTTTGCAATGTGCTCAGCTCCCCCATCAGGTATATCTAGAAAGAAAACAATCTGCTCAGGATAATGTCACCATTTAGAAAGTCAATATCTTTAGACACCATGATGACACACTAACCATCTCGATCCACAGATGTCAGCACAACATAATCCAGACCCCACTCTGCAATTGCCTTTGCAGTATTGTAGGGCTCACTGGTATCCAGGGGAGGTGGATTTCTTGCAGTCTTAACTGAACAAAATCTGCAACCTCTTGTACATGTGTCACCCATTAACTAGAATAGAGATGTTATAATTTAAGTCAAGTAGACAGATGACTCTTTCATAATTGCGTTTTACTGAGGACACAAAATATCCCGTTTCCGTTTCTAGTCTAAAGGTTCAAAGGTTGAGCTTGTCTTACCATGATTGTGGCTGTGGCAGTGGCATATTCTCCACCTCCCCAACACTCTCCAATATTGGGACATCGAGCTTCCTCACATACCTGTAAGTAAAAGGGAACAGAATACAATCAGGTTGAAACTACCAACCAGTTGAACAAATAGTGGTTCAGTATTGAGGCGCCCATTGTTTACAACATATTTCTTCTTAAATTCGCTATTCAAAAATTCTGTTAAGGGGCTGGAATTGTGGCTCAGCAGTAGAGCGCTCGCCTAGCATGGGTGGGACCAGGGTTCGATCCTCAGCACCACATAAAAATAAAGGCATTGTGTTATGTCCATCTACACCTAAAAAAAAAAAAAAAATCTGTTAAACTGCCAAACCATATATTAAGATCTCATTTTTAAATTGAAAAGTATACAAATATAAATATTTTATATGTTTAAAGAAATTGGTCTGAGTCATGCATGGTGGCACACTCTTGTAATCCCAGTGGCTAGGGAGGCTGAGGCAGAAGGATCACGAGTTCAAAGCCAGCCACAGCAACGGCGAGGTGCTAAGCAACTCAGTGAGACCCTGTCTCTAAATAAAATACAAAAAAGGGCTGGGGATGTGGCTCAGTGGTCAAGTGTCCCTGAGTTCAATCCCCGGTACCAAAAAAAAGAAATCGGTCTAAAATGATATACATTAAACAGTTAAGGGGTGTGGTTAATAGTTGAGATTTTTCATAATTAATTTTATACTCTTTCCAACAAACATATAATTTCTATTATAAAACCAACAGGCTGGATACAAGCTGGGTGTGGTGACACAAGCCTAAATCCCAGCAACTCAGGAGGCTGAGGCAGGAGGATTGGAAGTTCAAGGCTAGCCTCAGCAACTTAGCAAGGCCCTAAGGACTTAGCGAGACCCTGTCTCAAAATAAAACATAAAAAAAGGGCTGTGGGGCCAGGGTTGTGGCTCAGTGGTAGAGCACTTGACTAGCATGCATGAGGCACTGAGTTCAATCCCTGGCACCACATAAAACAATAAACAAATAAAATATAGGTATTGTGTCCACCTACAGCTAAAATATATATATATGGAAAAAAAAAAAAGGGCTGTGGATGTGGCTCAGTAAACAACCCTGGGTTCAATTCCCAGTAACAAAAAAACAAAAACACCAAGCTGGGTACAGTGGCATGTGCCTATAGTCCCAGCCACTTGGGACACTTAGGTGGGAGGACTATTTGAGTCTAGGAGTCTGAGGCTAGCCTGGGAACAGTTTTTATTTGTCTCAAAACAAAACAAAAACCTTTGTTTCTCTAGTTGCAGGGAAAAATCTTGTTTTGTACTATTAAATGAGACATTAATATAATCACCCTTTATTTCTTTTGCAGGAATAATTATTTTAAATGATTTTTATTTGTTTGCTTTGGGCAGTGATGGGGATGGAACCCAGAGCCTCAAAAATGCCTAGGCAAGCACTCTATCAGTGAGCTACAGCCTCAGCCTCTAACTAATTCCCCCCACCCCAATATTGAGGATTGAATCCAGGGCCTTGCATATGGTAGGCAAATACTCTACCATTGAGCCATACCTATCTGCAATGTATTTTTATCATTGGTAATAATGCATCACTTAACGTTTTTCATTCATTTTCCTTGCTGTATTTATATATGAATTAATAATTTCTAAGTTATAAATATGTATAAACATTTATAACCATGGATTAAGATTGACAACTTACTGTATGGAGATTTAAATTTCGCAAAGTATTTTTCAGTTTATTGTAATTTTTCCCCATGGGAATCTCTGTCTTTAGCCATGGAGGTAGTCTTAACCTAAGGAAAGCCAAAGATAACTATCCATTAACAAACAGGCAAACAAGTAATCACACAGCCTTGAAGTTACTTTGTTCTATTATAATTCTTAGTTAAATTTTTTTCCATAATCCTGGATTAACCCTTATTAATTTCTGCTGTGGGCAAAAGAACAAAGATTCAAATTTAGGATTCCTCAAATCACATTAGAAAACACTGATATTGGAATCTGACAGACCTTTTTATATATTTTTAAAATTTTTAAATTTGTTTTAATTAGTTGTACATAACAGTAGAATGTACTTTGATATATCATATATAATGGAGTATAATTTCTTCTGGTCCTTTTTGTTTTAGAGACAAGATCTCACTGAGTTACTTAGGGGCTCCATAAATTGCCAAGCCTGGCTTTGAACTTGCAATCCTCCTGCCTCAGGCCCCCAAGTTGCTGGGATTACAGGTGTGCATCACCTCGCCTGGTTACCCAAAGTAATATTAATTCACAGTAAGCAGAGATCCCAACTGTGCACTATCAGCTTATATTCTTGATTTTATGGTGGTGATTAAATGGCAAAATTCTAATATTTGAAATGGAATTAAGTATACTTGGTTTCACCATGACTATACTTACTTATGATCTGGAAGTTGTTGGATAAATATTTTTCAAAACAATTTGCCATCTGCATTAAATTCTCATTATTATTTTAAATTATAGCAAGGGAGGGGGAAAAGAGGAAATTAATTAGTTAAGGCAAGATATACATAGATCTTATGTAAATTGACTGGGAGCAGTTAGATCATCAATACCCACTAATAATGAAAATTTTATCAAGGTCTAGATGGGTGTGGTGGTGCACGCCTATGATCCAGAAGCAGCTCAGGAGGCTGAGGCAGAAGGATCCTAAGTTCTAGACCAGCCTCAGCTAGGCCATAAGCAATTTATCGAGACCCTGTCTTGAAATAAAAAACAAAAGGGGCAGAGGGTGTAGCTCTCTGAAATAAAAAAAAAAGGGGGGGGGGCAGGGGTTAAGCACCACTGAGTTCAATCCCTAATTTAAAACAAAACAAAAAAACAGAAAATCAAGAAAAGATTTCAGCATTCTCATCAACTTACATGTTCTCTCTTTTTTCTAATGACCTTTCACTAAATTAAACAAGCCTGAAATTAAAAATATACTCTAGGACTTGGTTACATCTGAAAATAATGCACAGTAAGGAATGGGACATTGAAATTATCTCAAATTCTCAGTTACCTTTCTCCTTTCTGGCGTTTTAAGTTTCCTTTATATTCCTCCCAGGTGCTCTTGTCTGCAAGATCCCCAGACACAAAATCTTGAAGATCTGGTCCATTCTGTAAAAATTCTTTTTTTTTATCTGGCAAAGAACTTAATGACCTGATTGGACTGTATAAATATCTTCCAAATACCTAAAGAAAGAGTTCATTATGACAATCATTTAGTGGGTTCTGGGATAATTTAGTTTTAACCCATTATAATATCTAAAAGATACCTGGTGCTATGGTGTATGCCTGTACTCTTAGAGACTAGGGAGAATGAGGCAGGAGAACTTTGAGTTTGAGGCCAGCTTGGACAATCTGGTGAGACCCCATCTCAAAATAAAAAATAAAAAGGACTGGGGATATAGTTCAGTGGAAGAGTGCTCCCCCCACCCCGGGGGGGGGGGGGGGTTTCATCCCCAGTAACACAAAAACAACAACAACAAAAAAAACCCACAATAGAACACATCTAAAAGGAATGGAGGGTAAAAGCAAAGAAGTGATGCAGGGGGCTGGAGCTGTAGCACAGTGGTAGAGCACTTGCCTTGCACGTGTGAGGCCCTGGGTTCGAGCCCCAGCACCACATATATATAAAATAAATAAATAAATAAATAAATAAATAAATAGAAGATATTGTGTTCATCTACAATCAAAAATTAAAAAAAAAAAAGAAGTGATGCAGGAATTATATCAAGTGGTTTACTGCTTACAAGATTGGAATCTAAGGGGCTGGGGATGTGGCTCAAGCGGTAGCGCGCTCGCCTGGCATGCGTGCGGCCCAGGTTCGATCCTCAGCACCACATACCAACAAAGATGTTGTGTCCGCCGAGAACTAAAAAATAAATATTAAAAAAATTCTCTCTGTCTCTCTCCCCTCTCTCACTCTCTCTTTAAAAAAAAAAAAAAAAAGATTGGAATCTAAGATTAAAGAAGAATCTAGAAGGAAACAAACCCAAAGAAGAATAGGAATGAACTTCTGAATACCAAGTTTAGAATAGATTTAAAAACCTTTGGAAGTATCTATCATAGATCACACTTTTATGCCCTTTTTATTTTATATTTTGAGACAGGGTCTTGCTAAATTGCTGAGTCTGACCTTGAACTCGGTATCCTCTCAAATAGTTGACATTACAAGGGTGGGTTAAGGTGGCCAGGTTCACTACCCTTCTTAACAGTACTAACACTTCGTCTTTCAACAAACTTAAACTGCAGTAACTGAAGATGCCAAGGCTATACATTTTCTATTCCTGACTTGAGTCAGATATGTTTAAAAGGAAATTTGCAATAAATCCCTCTAGCTTTGTGTTTGGGGTAAAGTAAACATGTTAAAATGTAGTGCTAATATCTAGTTGGTTCCAGAAAACTGGAAGTAGTAAAACCAAACCTAAGCCCACCAGCCTCTCGAACTAGTTTATGTTGGTGTCTTGGTTTTTGTTTGTTTGGGTGATGCTGGAATTGAATTACCCAGCACTCACACTTGCGAAGGACTCACTTTCCCTTTAAACTACAGTCCCCAGCCCTGTTTCTGTGCTAGAACCTGGCAGTTAACCAGTGCGCATTTGTGTAAGAAACCACAGTATTTGACTTCTAGATCTGAATACAAACATGCACGAGACAGGCAAAACACTGTAAAATTAAAGGGATCTTCAACAGTTCAAAAGAAAAAAAATATCTGTTAGAGCACTGCATGATTGGTAGTGCACTTATCCAGTCTACAGCTTTAGCCCAGAGGGCAGGCTGTGTACTCAGCTGCAAGAGTGGTGTCTAATATACAGGAAGAGCCCAACGATGTGGGTTGAGCACTGTTGTGGTCCTTTAAATATAAGGAACAAACCACTCTAAGCAGGAAAAAAAAAAAAAAAAAAAGACAAAACCAAAACCCATCATCACCGACCCAGAGAGACCTTCAAACAAAACAAGATCAGGGACTACTTCATGGGGATGTCAGGAGAATTAAACGAGATAATACGATAAACGTTTAGAAAAGTGCCTGGCTGCAAGCAAAAGCGTTGGCCTTCATTACGGAGTGCTCTGAAGAGATGGGAACCCCTCACCCCACGCCTGCACGCTTGTCGCCCCGCTGCTCACCCGGAGCCCCAGGGTGCGAGCAGCGTCCCCGCCGCGTAGAGACATCGCCTCTTTAGACCTAGTAGGATCGAGGATCACACCAATGCCAGGGAAAAGACTGATCGATAAACCGTCGCTCGGCTTATGACAATCACCAGAACTACCCCTAAGCCCGAGTAGCTTGAACTGTTCCGCAATTGGCTGCTTTAGTCTTAGTGGCGTCGCGCACTCATTACGCAATACGCAGAGTCCTTACGGGCTACAAATACGTGATGACGAAAGACGCTCTCTCTTTCCCGTATCTACTGCGAGGTGAGGAGGATAGTGATTTCTGTGGGCCCTGGGAATCTGAAGCCATCGGCTCTAGGAAAGCTAACAGCATGGGTTTTGCGCTCTCAGCCTTTACCCTGATTGTCTCCCGGCGCGGCGAGTGCCGTGTGGATCTGCTGGCGCGAGATGCGAGTTCTGTATTGGGGCTTTAGGCCTAACCCTACCGCTCTGCCTTACCGGGATGGCGCGCCGGGCTGGGATTCCAGGGTTGGGCCGACAGTGTGTTAGCCAGCAAGGCTTCGTAACACCTCTTTGGGGGCTGCACCTACCAGCCCCGGACGCACCGGAGGCCACTCTTAGTTTGGGTCATCTTATATCCTCCCACGTCTCCCGGCACTTTCCTGTGGGAGTGGAACTCTGTTTGGCGAAAACACTCCCTGCACTGGCCTGACTCCAAGTGTTTGTGTTTCAGAATGAAGACCATTCTCAGCAATCAGACTGTCGACATTCCAGAAAATGGTACGGTACTTGCGGTTTTTCTGATGGGTGTTTACTACGTGTTCTAAGCCTTCTGTAATCTCAGAATTCATTCTCTCTCGTAGTCGACATTACTCTGAAGGGACGCACAGTTATTGTGAAGGGCCCAAGAGGAACCCTCCGGAGGGATTTCAATCATATCAATGTGGAACTCAGCCTCCTTGGAAAGAAAAAGAAGAGGGTAAGGTGTAGATAACTTATGTTGCTCGTTCGGATGGTAGTTATCTGTAATAGCATTAAATTTGGTTGCTTGTAAAGTTTCCCAATTGAGCGACGTTTGGCTTTTAAGTTTAGCATCCAAAATAAATTTTGCTTTAATGAGGTTGGAATATCAGATTCTGAATACAATGTACTGTAAAGCTCAATATCTAGTAGTCATTCTCAAAGCGGTTTTAACACTAATACAAGTTAAATTTATTTATGTGATTGCTTAAAAAGTAAGAATTTAAACCAGTAATGGGGATTTTTTTGGACTTGATTTTATTTTCCAGTGGTGAAGTTTGTTGCAACTTGTTTGGGAGTTTTCAACGTGAATCTAAGTACCTTTGGTGTACAGCAATAAAAACATTTGTGAAATGTAGGAGACTCTGTATGTGGTTGGATTTTCCCAGTTGAAAATCCTATGCTTTAATTGGGGTTAATTCTAGACTCTAGAGTAATTCGTTGGGAAAAAAAATGAACTGTTCTCCTTCCAGCCTACTTATTTATGGGAAGTTTTTGTTGTGTTACAGCTACGGGTTGACAAATGGTGGGGAAATAGAAAGGAACTGGCCACTGTTCGCACCATCTGTAGTCATGTACAGAACATGATCAAGGGTGTTACACTGGTAAGCTGACTAATAAAGACATTCCCCCCACTCCTTTATTTTACTCTTGAAAGTTTTCTAAGCTGTATTATATGTGTGTGTATGTATTATATATAGAGAGAGATGTCTATGGCCAGGAATGGATTATCCATAAGAGTAGGCTGAGGGTGTGGAACTTTTTTGACTATAGTGCTGGAGCTCGAACCCATGCTGGTGCCAAGTGCTCTATCACTGAGCCACATCCTATTTATTTATTATTAATAGAAAATCTGCTATGCCATAGCACATAGATAGGCTTTGCTTACTTAATGGAAAGCCACCATTAGGACCCTACAACCCTGCCTGTTTCCCTAAATGCATGTCTGATGTCACTATTGATTTCAAGCCCCTAAAGTAAAGTTTGTGTTGACTTGTGTGTATGCATTAAAACCTGGTCCCTCTAGACTATACCTAATAAGGGAATCCTGCGCTTAACCTCTATTATGGACCTATTAAATGTTTCTACTGCGTATCCCTGGTTCCAGAAGGTAGAAGCCCTGTCATACTTGATATTCTCAATTCTGCCATTAGTCTTAGTAAATGTTAGTCTGAAAATGTGGGATTTGGGGAGTTCTCATTAAAAGGTGTTAGCATTGTTTACTGTGGGCATAAAGGTAACAAAATAAGTGCTTCTTTAAGAAGCTTTGCTGTCCAGTGAGGAGACATAAAATTGTGTACCTATAGTGTACCAATAATAAAAATGTTGTAGGAGGGTTAGTACAGGTGTCAGTTGTTAGGAAACCTTGCAATGAATGCAATATGGGAACTGTTAAGTTTTTAAATTATAAGTAACATAAGCATCCTACTAAATTTTAAAGTGAATTTCTTTTAACTAGGGCTTCCGTTACAAGATGAGGTCTGTGTATGCTCACTTCCCCATCAACGTTGTTATTCAGGAGAATGGGTCTCTCGTTGAAATCCGAAATTTCTTGGGTGAAAAATACATCCGAAGGGTTCGGATGAGGACAGGTATGTTGTATGTGCCCTCAGATATGATTCAGAAATTGTAAGTCTTTTGAAGCCTGGTTTTTTGGGTTGGTTGTGACTATAAGTATTTCAGAATTGTCTAAGGATATATTGCTCTAAGGATAGCTTTGAACTTGTGATCCTCCTGCCTCTGCCTCCCAAATTTCTGGGATTACAGGCAAGTGCCACCATATCTGGCTGCATTGTGATGTTTTGATGGACATATGCATAAGCAGAATGATCAAATTAGGATATTTAACATGTTCATCTCCTATTTCTTGGTGATAAAAACTTTTAGATTCCAAAAGTATCTTAGTTATTAGCCTACATTCTGCCTAGGTTTAAATTTCAATTCTTGCTTGGAGCATTTTGTTTCTCTGTAGCTTATTGTACTCATCTGTTTAGTGGGAACTATATTATGACCAAATGAGTTTAAAATTTAAAAGCATTCAAAATAGTGCTTGTCTAATACAGAGTAAACACTGAACCTTTAGTTTTATGTTTTTCCCTCCCCCCAGTGTGCCCTTTTTTTTTTTTAAAGAGAATTTTTTTTAACATTTATTTTTTAGTTCTCGGCAGACACAACATCTTTCTTTGTATATGGTGCTGAGGATTGAACCCAGGCCTCAAGCGCGCTACTGCTTGAGCCACATCCCCAGCCCCCCCCCCCCAGTGTGCTCTTGGTTAGGGTGGGGAAGAGGGGAAAGAAAGGAGATCTCTGTGCCAATTTCTATGTAATAGCTGTTTTCTGCAACATTTAATGAGAATCCCCATGTAAAAAATAAACTTTTGGGGATAATAGATATGTACAAAGAGTTGGTACAGAACTTTGTTTTTGGTGCAGGAATTGAACCCAGGGGTGTGTAACCACCACTAAGCTACATCCCTAGTCCTTTTTTATTTTGAGACAGGGTCTCTCTAAGTTGCTGAGGCTAGTCTCGAAGCCTCCCAAATTATTAGGATACAAGTGTGAACCACTATGCCTAGCTTGGTATAGAGCCAACTAAGTTGTACTGTCGAGTCTCTGAGTCTGACTATGATTCATTCCAGCCAGAACACAAATTTTAAAATTTTGGCTGATATAAGCCAGATCCTATAAAGCAAAAACCTCAAGAGAAAATTGGTTTGTTTTATGGAATCTTAAATGGAGTTAATTACTAGTGGGATTTAAGTATTTATTTATTCTAACACCATGCAAATGCTTTTTTGCCTTTTCAGGTGTTGCTTGTTCAGTGTCTCAAGCTCAGAAAGATGAATTAATCCTTGAAGGAAATGATATTGAACTTGTTTCAAATTCAGGTTTGTATGTTCTCAATACCATTTATGTATTTCACTTAAAGCAGTCTTGTGTAAGGACAGGGACACAGTGTGAGAAATGTGTTATTAGGCATTTTTGTTAGTATGAATGTCAAAGTGTACACAAAACTTGATGGTACAGATTATTTACTGAACATGGTCCTTGGTACAGTCAAGAGACCACATAGAAAAGTGTATATACACAAGTTGCCAGCAAAACATGGTATATTGTTTGATAACCTTTTCAGTAGATTTAGTTTATTATGATTATCAAGTATCCTATGTATAATTGTGTTGTATACTTTTGACAGGCAACAATAAATATTTTTCACACTTGTGAAAAAAGTTTGTTCTTGCTGGCATCACCAAGAACAAATGTGAGTGATGTGTTCACTAGTACAGTTTTACTAGATGTAGGAAATTTTTTGTCTCTGTTATTACCTTATGGAATCATTGCTGTATATTTGGTTCATTGTTAACCAAAATGTACTGTACCTGATTGCTTTTTAAGATGAAATAATTGACTTTTTTTTTATTCCTATAGCTGCTTTAATTCAGCAAGCCACAACAGTGAAAAACAAGGATATCAGAAAATTTTTGGATGGTATTTATGTTTCTGAAAAAGGAACAGTTCAGCAGGCTGATGAATAAGATCTAAGAGGTAGGTTCTTTAGTGTCTGTTTTTGTTTTGTGTTACTAGGGATTAAACTCAGGGCTTTGCACATGCTAAAGAGCTCCACTATTAAGTTATATCCCCAGCTATTTATGCTAAGTTACCTAGGCTGGCCTAGAACTTGTTATCCTCCTGTCTCTGTCTTCTAAGTAGTTGGGATCACAGGTGAGCACTATCATGCCTGTCTATAAGATTGATTACTGCTTTAGATGGGTTTTTAATATACTGAGGCTTAAATAGAGCTTGCTGAGCATGAGCAACGTGTCTAGGCTCCATTCCTCATTCTCCAAAAAGAAAGAAGACTTAAATTGAAATTATATTAATGGTAGAGAATGGAGCACAGTAAGTTCTAAGTTTACAGTTTACTATGAACAATATATTTAACGATAATTTATAACTTTAATGGACAAAGATAACTGATGGAGATATTTTTATTTCTTTTTACAGATGTCCAGTCACAGAAACATGTCCTGGAGTCAATTTGATATTTCATTGATGCAATAAAAGATCTCTATTGACTTTGGACTTAATCCTTTCCAACGGGTTGAATAAACTTTAGTGTCCTT